TGCTAGGAAAAAAAAAAAAAAAAGTGTTCATGATGGAGTCAGAGAAAATTTCAGATTGATAAGATCGTTGAGTTTTCACCTCTCAGCCTAAAGGAACCTGTGTTAACTACTAATATAAGAAAAAAGCCTGTTAGACGTTTGATAGAAGCTCATACAGATTTGCCGGTAGTTACCCAGCCAGTGGCCCCGCTTGCCAACTGGAGAGTCCTTGGTGTTTCCCCCTAGGTCTGACAATTCATGTACCCCCAGTAACAGCAGGGTTGGTGAGACATGAGAGTAGGCCAGTTTATTTGAGACAGTACACAATGGCCATGGAAGATGAAGAAATTAAACCCCACATTTAAGAGATATCTGCTAATGGACCTACAAAAAGTTCTAACTCATCTTTTTCATAATTATCCTGTTGTGATTATTTGACCCTTGCATGTTTAATTGTTTCTTTGGCTTTGTCTTCTCCAGATTCAAAGCTATATGTCCACCCAAGATAAAAATGCCTGGTGTCTATTGAGGGCCTTTAGATAGAACCTCTGAAGAATATATCTGACTGCCAGTCAACAACTACGACCTCTTTCAGCCTGAAGAAGCCAGAGCGGTCTATGTCCATATTTCCCTCACAGCAGTTCGGGTTACTTCTTCAGAGGGGGGGAATGTTGCAGGCAGCCGAGTTAGATAGAAGTATTATAGGCAGTCAGACAGGGCCAGGCCCTCCAAGGAGACTGCACAGAAGACCAGATGCCTTACAACTGCGGGAGGGGCGGATGCTCCTGCTGTGAACCAGACCTAAAGACCTAAAGGCCAAACAAATGCTAAAGGAGTAGCACCTGGGATTGATATTCTAAATAGGTATCAACCACCTGGAAAGACCCAAGTGAGTCACTAGCCCAACCCCCAAAAGAAGGAGACTCTGTCCCGCCTTCCAACCCCACCAGGAAAAGACCCTGTCCCCTATTCATGCCCGCTTGCTACGCGACTCGCTTCCCCGTTTGGTGCTGGGCGTAATCAATTCTACCTGAGCAATGGTGCTTGTAATCTCATTGGTTGACCATAGTTTTGTCCCACCCCACGTCTACCTAAGTGAGTTCCCCCTTTCTCTACTTTAGCCCCACATGGTTGTACACTATAAAAGTCCCTGGAAGAGACAGCTTCCTGGGGAACTACCCACTCGGACCCCCTCCTGTCCCTCTCTTGGACAAGAGCTTTCTTTTCCTCAATAAATATTTTCTGCTCAAAAAAAAAAAAAAAAATCCAACATCAGAGACCTTCTAGCGCTGCGATGACCCTGCTGTATTTTAGGTGCCCCAACAATGATGACGTCACCGCCAAGCTGCCGCGTGCTTGCATCAGGGCTTGAGGGCTTTGGCTGCCAGAATGGCACACGCATCTTTAGTACCCAAAAATAGAAAACATAAAACACAACTTTGGGCCAATTATTCCAAAGAGAAATTAAGGGAAGAGCAGAGCCTGGCAAGGGAGAGACGAAGGACCAGGCTGGAGGAGACACCCCCTCGTCTGGAGAATCCCTGTGCCTTCCATTTCTTCTCCATGGTTACAGCACTGGGGAATCGCCCTGGCTGCAAGGAGCACACTTGTGTCTTCTTTCTCTGCATTTCATGCTGCACCTGGTGAGGGCTTCTTAGCTCCTCACAGGGCTTCATCACTGCTGGGCTGATGGGTAGTTGAGAGCGGCTGGCACACGATGCCCCGCACAGTGCTGCCTTTAAGGCACCTCTGGGGCCCATGGAAAACTGGATCGCTCAGCATCCTCTTCTGCCTTACACAGTCTTGGATGTCAGAGTGAAAGCCGCCACAGGCGACAGGAGAGCGACACACAGCGCCCCTGAGAGAGGAGCTGCTGAGCCTGCACGGTCCCTGGACAAGAGGGCCAACCACAGAAGCCCGCAGGCCAGAGCAGCAAGCAAGGTCGGTCGCATGTTAGCTGAATAGAAGAATGAGAGAAAATCGCTCTCTTCAAAGTCCTTTTGGAATTTGGGGTTCCCCAGACCCCACCGCCGTGCTGGCCTGGGGCTCAGCGCTGCCCCACCGACCGGCGTCAGGGCCAGTTGACAGCGACTGTCCTCTCCATTTATTGCCCTGCGCTGGTGCCTCCTGCTGCACCCATAGGGGCTGCATGCAAAGTGCCTGGCTGCCCTCTGCCCTGGGGGACAGGAGTAGCCCAGCACCCCAGTGGTGAAATGAGGGGCCCCATGGCTTCTTCAGTGGCCTAGAGCTACGCATCCAGCCACACCCGCCGTCCTGGAAGCTGCCCTGTGCCTCTCAGCAACGCTCCAGAGTCCTCGGGAATTGGGAAATGCTCGCTAGTTTTACGCATTTTCACATTTTAATGTCCATTTGTAAAACTAATAGCTTAACTGCCATAAAATTTAAATATAAAGTTTATGTGCTTAATGTCTGCCACTCAGTGCTTTTCAAAAATATATTAACAAATATGCATCTGTCACCACTGTCAAATTCCAAAACACTCTCATCATCCCCAAAGGAACTTTCATACCCACTACAAGGCCTTGCCTCTTCTCCCAGCTTCCGGCTCCTGGCGAGCGCTGGTGTGATTCCCACCTCTGTGGCTTGCCTGTCCCTCGCTCACCCAACCCTGCGCTGGGTTTCTTTTACGTAGGTGATATTTTCAAGATCTGCCCCGTTGCAGCACCTGGAAGCACTTCACTTTTCAGTGTAGCGGAGAACGTACCCTGGTATGGATAGACCTCAATGACCTGGTCATTGTTTCACTCAGTTTGTTCGGGGTTTTTGTGATTGGGACGGAACGCACAGGTTAAGTCTGCTCACAGTTTGTGGCGTTCAGCTGACACACGGCTGGCTCCAAGGCCTTCAGACAGCCTGAATGCAACGTAAGGGAGGGAGGGACGCTCGCTCTCTGCTGCCATAGCTGCCGTGCTCCAAGCACAGCAGAGGGGCGCCGCAGGGGAGGCAGTCCATCGTGTGGCCAGCAGGAGCCCACAGGCCACACACAGCGAGCGGGCCTTCTCTTTTCACGCAATTGCTCCCAAGTGGGGCTTCTGCCCTCAGTAAATCCACACAGCCACACTCAAAACTCTGCTACTTCTAATCTGGGGCTCCCGTAGCTCCGCACGCCCTGAACGCCAGTAGCATATACCTTAGGTCAGTACTGATGGACCTATGGCATGGGCACTGTTTTTCTTTTACGACAAAAGATGTTGATGTAATAAGTTTTTTTTTTTTTTCTGAACTAAAATCTCAATGTGCATGTTTGATTGCAGTGTTGGCACTTTCAGATAAATTAGCGGGCTTGGGTGGTAGCTTGGTCACTTGGTCTCTACGAGGTTCGCCGCCACTGCCCTAGATCCAGCAAGTTCAGGAAAACCCCACCTCGGAGTGCACGAGGCTCTGCGGGGTCATCTAGATACAAACTGTGGCGTTCGCTTACTAGCCGATGGGTGCCTCAGCGGTTTCTACTTTTGCTTTGCTGTAAGTAATGCTATTAGGCGTGTCATGACACAAGTTTCAGGTTTCTTGGAGTGCACCTACAAGTAGACTGTCCAGGCGACGTGGCCGCCCTTTGTTCACCTTGGTGAGCAGTTACGACACGACCCTTTTTTCTATCTCAAAGGCAAATAACACCTGCGCAGTCTGTTTGCTGAGGACTGAGATTCCGCGTTTTCTCCACACATACGGGCATCGAAGATGATCACAAGAGTGGCTAAAACAGACAGGCGCTGCTGTCCACGGCCACAGCGGCCCGTCCTGGAGACTCCACGTGGCTACGTGGCAGACAAAAGCCTGCTTCTCTCCCTCTTCCTTGGCTCTGATGTCATTCTCTCTACTTGGTGAAGCCGCCTCACATGCTGCCTTCTCCACCAGCATCCTTACAAAGGACCTCTTTGTCCCCAAGCTCTTAAAGGATTTTCGCTGGAATGAGGCCCAGATCCCAGAGGGGAGGCCTTCGCTGCAGATGTCCCAGTGCCTTTGCCTCCCCCAAACCCTGCACTTGCTGGCTAGTGCTCCTTTTCATCAGCGGGATCCCATAAGTACAGGGTCCTGGGTTCAGGACACCTTTGTACTGAAATATATCCTCACGATGTCTTTTTATTTTTTATTTTGAGATGGAGTCTACCTAAGTTATTGTTATGGTTTGTGTTTAGGTGCCCCCCCCCCCGGCCCGTGCAGTGATGGGGAGGGGGGCTTTAGAGTTTGTGTTTAATTCATGATCCAATGCTGGGATTATGGGTGTAAATGCTGCTGGGATTACGGGTGCGAGTGCTACACCCAGCCTGCGGGGAGAGACAGCCTGAATGCAACACAAGGGAGGGAGGGAGGGAGGCCTCTCCCTGCTGCCATGGCCGCTGCTGCTTCCTTTTTGCTCTTGCTGTTCTGCTGTTTTCCACTGTCGTGAACAGCTGCCCTCTGCCGTGTGCCACTCTGCCGTGGAGCCAGCTGAGTAGGGAGTGAAACCTCCACAAACTGAACTAAATAAACCTTTCTTTCCTTCATTTTGGGTGTCGGGTATTTCGTCTCAGCAGTGAGAGAAGAGTAACTGAGACGGTCACCCAGATGCCCAGGCCGCTCACGTGCTCCTCCTGCCTCCGCCTCCCTGAGCGCTGGGATTACAGTAGAGCATCTCCATATTTGGCTTTAAAAAATTCTGATGACATTCCATAAATCTATCACATACATATCTATTTATTATACTTGTAATGTCACCGTTTTTAAGTTCATTAGGTTATTTTGAATTTTAGTATGTGCCAAACGCTCTTACCTAGTCAGCAACAACACACATAAATTCACAGCACGTGGATATTTTCTTTCACTGAAAGCACCTGACATTGTTTTGTCACGTGGCACAGAAGAAGCGAAACAAGGGAAAGGACAAGGGGCGACAAACTAGGTGATGGCAGCTACTTGGCACACGACACAAGGCAGAGCGGCGCCCTGTCGCTTAGGGGACCTCTTGAGCGGCCCCCCCCCCGGTCCCCGGAAGTGACAGCTCCCGCGAGCCGTGCAGGTACCTGGTGTCAGCAGGACGACCGACGTGGTGATCAGCGAGCAGATGACCAGGATGACCAGCAGCGCGATGGCGATGCCCTTCCAGTTCCTCTGCGGCGGGTTGCTCCCCACCAGCTCCTGCGGACAGCCAGAGAGACACAGAAGCCCAGTGAGCCAGGGAAGGAGGCAAGCCCGCCCCGCCAGCGCGCACAGTGTAAGCAGGAAGCAGGGCGCGAGAGGAGGCGCCCTCCCACGCTGACTTCCCCCCGCAGGGCTGCCTCTCCCGGGGCCAGGGAGAAACCTGGCTCCGAAGAACCCAGGGCCGTGCTGTGCGGACGGCCCTGCACCAACCCGTGGAGAATGGGGGGCTTGTGGCACGTCCCTCCTCACACCCAGCGCTCCCCACGGAGTCAACCGAGAGAAGGAGGCTCCCGTCTTCTCTCCTCCCTCCTTTCATCCATACTGTGTCTTCTAATTGGGTGCACCAAGCC